GCTCCTCTCTCCTATCTCCTTGCAAAGCTACGACATAATGAGGTGTGTGTGGTGAATGATGTAGAAAAATATGGTTGAGGTGGTGAATCTGAAATAGGCGCATAATGATGTATTTATAGGGCTAGGTGCGGCACAATCCCTAAGGATTAGGATAGGTTTCTGAAATCAAATTGGGACAAGGTTTGTGTAACCAAAACCCAAGTGGAATGGGTTAAAACAATCATAAACCAAAAGGGATTAGGTTAGAAAGGTGCAGCACTAATTCCTGCAAGGAAAGGGATAAATTTGGCCTAATTCAAGAGGGAAAGGGGGAGGCGCCAGATTTGTAGGGACTTCTAGAAAGGATGTTTCAGCACCAATTTAAGGGTTATAGAAGGATAAGGGTGCGGCATAAATGTAGGGAAAGGATAGGCCTTCTAGAAATCAGATATTTAGGTCCTCTTGTAGCTAGATTTAAGGTAGGATAAGATTAGGATAGGATAAGATAAGGTTGGATAAGGTTTTGGATAATGTTCCTTCTTTTGAGCTGATTCCTTATCTTCTTTGTCTTGGATTTATTTTCTTCATCTTTGCAGCACATTCCTAGCCTCTTGAACTTCAAATTCATCCATCCATCTTGCTCCATTCATAAGCTATCCATTTGATGCCCAAAACTGCCTCAAAATGCTCCAAATCACACTTTCTTGCCAACTTTGTCAATTGGACCTACAAACACACGAAAATAGCTTAAATCACTATAATAAACACAAACTAACTACGAAAATGCAAGAAAACAAGCTAACTAAGTCACATAAATATGCTCCTAGCATGTGTGTGTGTGTGTTATGCCGTGTGCGTGTGATGTGTATACTGTGCACCCGTGTGAGTGTGTGTGTGTTGTTGTATATGGGTGTGTGCGTGTATAGTGTGTGTGTGTAGTTAGTGCATGCGTATGTGTATATGATGTGAGTGTATATGTGTGTGTATGGCGTGTACTGTGTGTGATGTGCATGTGTGCATGTGTGCATGTGTGCTGTGCATACATATGTGTGTGCTGGCGTGTGTGTATGTGTGTTGTGTGCGTTTGGGCTTAAGCCCAAACCACCCCTTTTGTTCCTAAACTATCCAAACCCAAAACCCAATAGGTCCTAACCCTATTTAACCTAAACCTAAACCCTAATCCGAATCCAAACCCAAGACCCATTTCCATTTCTTTAAATTCTATAGTTGGGTAGTTTGATAAATTGTACATTTTTGTGCTTAGGTGAAGTTGCTAGTGGGGATTTCCTTAATCCTTTTCCGCATAACTCTGTCGCTACGGAGTATCTGTGAGTGGACCTCTTCTAATATTACATGATTTCATAGTTTAATTGCATAAATGAATAGCATGCCTTACGTGTTTGTGAACTAATTTAATGTTAAGCATGTTTATGGAAAATGTTGTTTATTGTCTCGTTTTTTGTGAGGAATTAATTGTTTGCCTATATTGAGCTATATTTTAATATATCGTATTTTTTATAAAAACCATGAACTGGTAGACTATCTGATGGATGACGAGAGGATGCTAGAACATGTTTTCAAAACCCCTCTTTATAGTATAGACAATGGATGACTTTATACTATGAAGTGGTTATTTATGAGAGGTGTATCTATTTGTGCGTACCTAGTAGACACTATGCCGCCTGGGGCAAGGATTTAGTGTTGGCATATAGGCCGGGAGAAATAATCCCTAGCTACGGGTTGAGGGACACAGAGCATGCATTAGGCCGGGAATTGATAATCTCTGGCTACGGGCGTAGAGACCACGGTGCTGGCATAGGGCCAGGAGTTATATTTATTCAGTGATCTTACTGGCAGCACATCACGCTTACGAGATGATCTGTGAGACGTTTGATGTTTTGATTTTCGCGATGTTATTCTGCGATACATCTTTAGAGATGTTTTTGGCATGCTAGGGTTTTCAGTAAACCTATCACTTATTATGCTAGTAATTTTCTGTATATAAACTGTGGGGGTTAGTATCTTGATAACTGTTTTATTATTACTGTATATATGAACTTGGTCCACTCACCTTTGTTTTGCGTCCCCATTCAGGACTTAGAATCGAGGCATACAATCCCAGAGTCAAGGTACTTCCGCAGCGGCATCTTCGAGTCCTTTTGGTGTAAGACATGCTCCTTTGTTCATTCAATTTTATATTATTTCTTTTAGTATTCTGGTTAGTTGTATGCTCTAAACACGTTCCTTAAATGCATATTCTTTATTCTTTTATATTTATAAGTCTTAATTATTCCTTATTTTCAACCTTTGCACTCAATAAATGGCTTTCGTCACCCTTGGGTGTTGGCCAGCACATGCCTATCCTGGTATTCGGGGAAATATCAGGATCGGAGCGTGTAAATTAATCACAATGAGGCCCCCACTTCCTGTTGAGCGGCGTAATCATCTGTTGCCTTACCCTTTTCCTTCAACTTTCGGGCCCTATTTCGTCCTATAACCCTAGGTATGGAACCTTCACCCGAAGACAGATTTTCCACCATTGTTTGTAGATCTACCATTGTTTGTTGAATGGTAGGAGATCCATCTTCATCCATATCTACAACTGAGGATGTAGTTCCGAACATCGGCATAGGACCTACTCTATGTTGAGGTGGATCTTGATAGGAGCATATGTATGCGACTTAGTTAGCTTGTTTCTTGGCATTTATGTTGTTAGTTCGTAGTTATTTTAGTATTTTAAGCTATTTTCGTGTGTTTGTAGGTCCAAAGGGTTAATGTGGCAAAGAAGTGCATTTTGGAGCATTTTGAAGCATTTTTGGGCATGGAATGGATGACATATGCTTGGAGCAAAAGGAATGGACGAAATTTGAAGTTTGTGCATCATCCTCTCCTAATAAATAACCATTTTAGCACACTCATTTCACCAAACACATCCATTCACCTACCACTACATCCACTCATTTCACCCAACACATTCACCTACCACTACATCCACTCATTTCACCCAACACATCCATTCTCCAAACATCCATCCACTACACCCATTACATCCACTCATTACCAAACACTCATCCACTACACCCATTACATCCACCCACTACACCCATTACATCCACTCATTACCAAACACTCATCCACTACACCCATTACATCCACTCATCCACTACACCCATTACATCCACTCATTACAACTCCATACACTCCTCTCCCTAGCCTATAAATACATCCACCCTTCACCATAATTTGGATTCGATCTCCATCCAAAGACACTACATTTTCACATCTCACAACTTCATTCACAAACACAATTTCCTTGCCGTGACCTCCATCCATTCATCTAGCCATACTACATCTCACCAATCCATACACTTTCATCTCTTAGCCGTGCAAATCCATTCCATCCATATATCCATACAGATCATAGACACTTGTGCTACAACAAGGTGGTGAAAACAAAGGTCCTTGGCGTTTCAAGCTTGGAACTTTTGAGCGTTTTAGGTGTACTCCGTTCTTGCTTTCAATGTCTACTTTGTTATTTTCTAATTTTGTTGCAATTATGAGTGGCTAAACCCCTATTTAGTTAGGGGGAAGTTTGAAGCCATGAACATGCTTGAGATTTGAATTGATTTCTTCCAATTGTGATTTGATAAGTTGTGATTGCAATTCAATTATCTATTTTATTCATAACTGATTCTTGTATGTTTATTAAGGATGCATACTTAGTTTTCATGCATGAATTAGATGCTAGAATATAAATGAGTTTCACCTAATTGTTACAAGTTTATATTCATGAGTAGTGAAGGTTGTTTATCACAATCGTGTTAATTGAATTCTTGGCAAATGTATCATGCATTCATAGTTATAATTGTCTCGTCAACACTTATGATTTTCATTGCACGTAATGATCTCTGATTGTATCTCTATTATGCATTCATATAGGGGACTTTTAGAGAATGATTTAGGTTGTTGCATGCATTCATCCAACTCAATGAGTAAAGGAAAATCTGAGGGTTAATTTGTGCATCACGGTTAATCTGGGGTGTTGAGTATCATAGTTTATTGAAAAGCAATTGGAAATCGATTCATGTACAAGTGTGTCATGTGTGAAGAACGGACCTCTAACTAATCCATCCATCATTTTATTTCTCAAATTCATTTTATAATCTGCCTAGTTTTATAACTTGCTTGTTTATTTCAAATTCATCAAAACCAAAATCCCCATTTTACTTTCTTGTTTCAAAGTGTTGAGTTTCGGTTTTTTTTGTGTTTTTGAGTGTTTTGATTCAAACCAAAACACTAAATTCATCCAAAGTTGTGTTAGAGTCAAATCTGCCCAATAAATGTTTTTAGGCAATTTTGAGTGTATTTAAGTTGTTTTGCGTCTTTAGAATCTGTTTTGAGTCCTTTGAGTCTATTCAAACGTTTTTAACTTTGTTTTTATGTCTTTGAGTTAGTTTAGAGGTTTTAGCAAGCCCTCCTAATCCCCGGTTTAGAACGATCCCTACTTGCATTTATACTACAATTTGACAACAAGAGGGTTTAATTTGAGTGCTTAACTTTCATCGCATCAGATCTTCAAATAATACTCATCCTTTACAAATTTCCCAACAACCATGAATCTAAAAGGGTTTCGAGCTGCCCTCCATATACAATTCATCCGCTTGAAGTACCTAGAAAATATAATTACAAAAGTTAAAGGAAATTAATTTATGAAATTAAATGTAATATAATTACAAAAATCAAAGAAAATTAATTTATGAAATTAAATGTAATATAATTAAATATTTAAAATAAATTGTGAAAACACTTACTTTGTCATAGTAATTAGCGCCGTTTTCATGTCTACTTACGGCTGCTAACAGTGTTTGATGCCATTTGTTCGAACTTGGTTGAAGATGTTTCTTCCATCTTGAGGAACAACTCTCGTGGTTTCGGGTATTCAATGGAGTGGTGCCTTCGTAGAACTCTAAGTATTTTTTGGACACATGAGTCCAAACACCTTCACTTGTTTGAGAACTCCCTCTCACACTATCTTCCGACACCCATCTATAAGCCTTGCAAAGAACTTCATCTTCCTCATTGTCTCTGCCCATTGACGTCGAACAGCACCGCATTAGCGTCTACAACACCACTGGAGTTTCCCGTCGAGATTCACGAAGAGGAGAGGGTCTACGTCTTGCAGTTGATCTTCGGACACCTCCTGACTAGTAGCAACTATGATGATACGGTGAAGAAGGCCATCGGTGGACGCAAAGGCTACGGCACCAAGCTTACGAACATCTTCTCCACCGAGTTCATCATCGAGACGGTGAACGAAATGCGATAAAAGAAGTATAAGCAGGTATAAAATTATGGATTCTATAATTTATGTGATGTTTGATTTGTGTTTTAGGGTTTTCGTGTTTTGTGGAATTTAGGAATTAGGATATGGTCTTCTATTTTAGGGTTTGGTGCATATAAAATTGTGAATTATAGGGTTTCAATGTTTGGTGGAATTGCAGAATTAGGATTTCGTCTTCCATTGTGATTGTTCATTTGATGTAATTTCATTATGTAACTTGTGATTTATTGGGGATCACTGTGACTAATTTTTCTATGGGTTTGACTAATTTGTGATTATTCGTTTTATGGACTTAAAAGTATGTTTATCTTGAGCACCTATTAGAGGTCTTGAGAAGATGATGAACATGGAAATGGCATTGGTCTTGAGAAGAAGATGAACATGGAAATGGCATTGAAAGCCAACAGAAGAGAATTTTAAAGAATTTTGAGATTTCATTTTAATGAATCCACACATACACACACACATATATATATATGCGCACATTTAATCAGAAATATGAATATATACTAGCTAGTATGCATATAGTTTTTGACGGTGATTGGTAGTTGATGAACCGAACCGTTAAATAGAATTATATATAAAACTATGACAGAAACTTGGCAACGGCATAATCAAACCAAAAGTATACTTAACAGAAGTGAAGAACTTTACCCCGATCCCTGAATTGTTTTTTTTGGGATGGATACTTTTAAAGATGCATGGTACTTATCTGAGGCATAGAGTAAAAAATTACGGGGTTATATAGCTTTAAAGCATTTTCTGCATAAAGATTTTTTTTTTTAAGTCCAGTGTCTGTACAACCAAATTCTTAGACTTTTCCTTTTAAGAGTTATTGTCAAATTATATTGGAAAGTGGTCTTGTTATCGCATTATGAAACTAAGTTTTACACTTTGTGTTCCTTGTCAAAGATCCACTTTGTGGTTTAATTAATAAATATCTGCGCTCATTCTTCCCACCTAATAAGCTCCTTATTCAATGGAATTTATAGGATCCTAAAACAAAAAAGCCTCGTGTGAAGCTATTTTGACAAAGCGACCGGAAAGAAAAAGGGAGACACACTTGTTACATGTATGAAGGTAACAATGCTTTTTATTACTTATGCTGCCTTTGTGATTGTAACACGTCATATCTGGGTATTTTATTATATGTGTTTATGTAAACTATAGGAACCATCGATTTTAACCAATGTTATAGGAGCAAGTTCAAGGCTTTGAGAGTCGATTTTCAAATCCTAATCAATTTGAGAAGAATTTTTGTAGAAAATCATCGTCGTTGTTCACCGCTCCATTGACGAAATTTCAAAATCATGGGTCATTTGCCAGTGGAAATTGGTTCCCATGAAAAGTGCTCTGCACTCAGAACAATAATTCGTTTTGGAGTTGTAACTAGAGACTAAAATCTTGAACGATTATAACCTGATTCGTTAAGTTTATTTCCTTACATCAACTTTTTTCATAGTATTTTCTATGTTATCTTTTCATACAGTGGTGTATGGACCTCTCGTAAAAATGACTTGGGAAAAAAATCAAGTATTGAAATCTATGAAAAAGAAATGTTGTATTTTTTCAGTGCAGGGTAAATGGAAGAACGCGAATAGATGGAATCCTTTAAATGGGGAGCCATTCATTAGAGTTTGCGAAGTTGATGAAATAGGAATTAAGGTATGCTTGCAGATTGTATAATACAAGTACAATTTTTGTTTTTTTTTTTCCTTCAAATCTTCCATTTCCTTTGTAGAGTGCATATATACCAACTGAGCACCCATCTTGGTTAAATACTATAGGCACTTTTCGAAGTGCCTACTCTCCTTTCATCATGTCCTATTTTGATTTCCCTTTCTAATGCAACATAGTAATTAGCTTAAAATGTGATTTCTTCAATGTCAGTGTATGTGCACCGTAACTAATGTTTTTGGATTGCTGGATTGCTATTGCAGCCATTTGTGGAGAGCTTGTCCAAGTGCCCAAAACATGGTCTTCACAATCCATTCAAGGCACCAGAGATGTTTGTGCTTATTACCATTCTATTTCTGTGTCATCATTTATCTTTAGGCATAATTTGTTTCTTTAGATTGCTCACATGGTTTCATGTAATGGTAGAGAACAAGAAGATTTTCATTAACTTTTCCCTTTTGAAGAACTTGACAGTGATATTTTGCAACAATATCAATTAGCGAAACTCTTCACCCTAACATTTTTCATTTGTTCCATTTGTAACAATGAAAATAGTTAAGACACTATTTTATGAACTACAACAACTATTTTTTGAACTATAACAAGTAAACTCACACTATTTATGAAATGAACTAAAATAATTCACATTATGTCTGAAGGTAACAAAATAAACACTATTTGTGAAATTATAGTAAAATAATCAACACTATTTCTGAAAGTGAACCAAAATAACTCAAATTATTTTTTAAACTACAGCTAAGTGAACTAAAATAACTCATACTATTTATAGAACAAAACAAAAGACTCACATTATTTATAAAATTGAACCAAAATAACTCATTATGTAAAGGAGCAAAATAAACAATATTACTTATATTATAGCAAAATAACTTAGAATAACCATTATTTCTTAAACTACAACAACATAACTTACATTATTTCTGAAAGTGAACCAAAATAACACACATCATTTCTAGAACTATAGTATAATAACCCAATATTTATGCACGTAACAAAAATAACTCACATGATTTCTGAAACTACAATATAATAACTCATTATTTATGAAAGTAAACCAAAATAACCCATATTATTTATGAAACTATAGTATAATAACCCATACTATTTCTGGATCTACAATATAATAACTCACACTATTTCTAAAAGTGAACCAAAGAACCTACACTATTCCTGAAAGTGAACTACTATTTCTTCAACTAAAACAAATAACCCATATTATTTTTGAAAATAAACCAAAACAACCCACATTATTTCTTGAACTACAACATTATATAACCCACACTATTTCTGACACACCCCGTCCCGAAGGAGGGCATGCTGGCCGTCACGTGAGAGTGACGTAACCATTTGCACAGTACGGAAGCTTTAAGATACAATTTAAATTGATACACCCGAAGGTGAGTCCTAATTTTGTCCAATCTGTCAGAACACCGTCGAATTCCTCGTAGTCACCACACCTTTGTGATTCCTGAACCTGGAGGGGCGCAAAACCAAAATTGAGTGGGTCAGTAAAACAATTCTTTTCAAATCCAACTTTTCTCAAAACATTGTAACCCCTCTCCGTAAAACCTGTATACTTTCCCAGAAATATAAAATATAAATATACATATATATATTCTCAATACTTCAAGTCATTAACTCAACATTTTCATCATAATTATGCCATGCCACATCATCTCAACATTTCTCATATTAATTATGCCATGCCACATCATCTCAACAGTAATAAGGTATGAATGCATCAACATAAATCATATCAGGTGCAATAAAGTAATCAACCGGAGGCCCTCTATTAGCCCGGTTGAACCTAGAGCTCAAAATCTATCACTCTCACACTCTGCCGGAGTCACTCCGCGTGACCTGTACGGCCTTCTGCACACAAGTTACGCTCTAGTGCTTTCTCATCAATCATCTGTGCACATAATCTAAGGTCACCCACCAGTCGGAATCTCACTAACACTCTCGCGACTGGCCTGTCGTACCCACTCCGCGTGGACTGTACGACTAGCATCTACTTGGATCCAAGACGAGCGTGCGATGCGGTGAAATACTATAAGCACTAAACTATGGTGCAGGATTTGAGCTCAATATACATCAACATCATCATCATAACAGAAATAAAATACTCACCTGTGCGTCCACCGCACCATTTCATACATATGCATCATAAATCAATTCTTACCTGTGCGTCCACCGCATCAATTCATACATATGCATCATATATTAATTCTTATCTGTGCGTCCACCGCACCAATTCATACATATGCATCATATATTAATTCATGCATGGCATTTCAACTCACATTTCTATATACTTTTCATATCAATTCTATGCATGGTATTTCACTTCCCGTTTTTCCACATAACTCATATGCATTTCATTTTAAACATATTTTCATTTCAATTCAATTTCTGGGAAACGTCAAGTATATATATATATACGGAAAACAAAACTGCCCACTCACAGAATACATCGACGTGTCGAAGGTCCCTGAGCCTCCCTTAGCCATGCCCAACGTCCGTATAATCCTCGCCTATACGAGAAGTAACCAAATTAACATTATTTAACGCATAATCCCACTCTTAGCTAATAACTCCTCATATATTGCTCAAATTGGGTATATGAATATACCACGGTGATCTACTCGACGTCACGGACGTCGACATATTTTTAGATTAATTTTTTACTGTAGCACGCGCCCCCACGCGCCAAGGAAGGCACGGGTCCACGCGCCCCCACGCGCACCTTCTTCTTCCTTGGGTCGCCGGACTGGTTTTTCCGGCGGCCGTTTTTCAAATTGCCATAACTTTGTCATTTCTCAACGAAATCAAGTGATTCAAAAACGAAAGTTGTAGCCCTTGAAGAGACAAAGAGAATGATACCTTGCACAACACCTAGTTCGCCGTGGTTTGGCCGGAAACTGCCTCGAAAGCCTCGGAGGTCGCCGGAAACTGGGTATTTTTCAAATGAGTATAACTTCTTCAATACTCAACGAAATTGAGTGAAACAAAAAGGAAAGTTGTAGTACTTGACGAGACGAAGATATTGATACCTACCTCGACTCCTAACTCGCCGGGGATTCGCCGGAAAATGCCTCGAAAGTTCCGGCCAAACTTTGAACTTGTCGATCTCCGTGTTCTTACGTCCAAAAACTTCCAACGAAGCACTCCGAGCTTCCTTGGGACTTCCTTAAGCTCACTGTGAGCTTAGTTTGGCCTAAAACACAACCAATTCAAAGCTCATGAACAGTACACTTTCACGGGGAGTTTAGAATCTAGGTTTTCCGAAGTAAAACTTACCTGAAATTGGTGTCTACGTGATCGTGGAGGTTCCAGGAGTTCGATGGTGGTCTTAAATGGAACGTTGGTACAAGATTGTGGTGGTTCTTGGTGGTTGCCGTGAGTTCGAGAGTAAGAGAGAGAGTCTGAAATGATAGAATAAGAGAGAGAGAGAGTGACTAAGGAGATGAGAGAGAGACAACAAAACGGGTTTTGGGGAAGGATTTCAGGGTATAAGGCCCTACCTTAACCCATATAATATTAACACATACAATTACACACCTTAATCCCGTTTAAGGGTATTTCTGTAATTTCACGTCCTCGAAATTAAAATTCCGGGACGGGCTGTGACAATCTCCCCTCCTTATAGAATTTCGTCCCCGAAATTCCAGTCACCAACCAGAACATCAAAACTCATAAAATAGCCTCGGATACATATCTCTCATCCGTTCTTCCGTCTCCCAAGTAGCTTCTTTCACTGAATGGTTCCTCCACAATACTTCCTCCACAATACTTTTACCACTTACTCTGTCTTAACTCTCAGAACCTTCTTTTTCCAATCCAAATTCTACTTTTCTAAGGTGAACACTTCTAAAATATAAAACCATTTACCTTATATACTCGATTAGTGGCATATCCATCTGTTGATGTCTTTTGCCATTCCTGGTTACTTTCAGGTTAACTTAATCACCTGAATACTTTGAGGAGACTCATCCATAGTCTCAGGGCCTACTAAAACTCTTCCGTGATCGAATCTTTCTCTACCCAGAAACATTCCATTCACAAGTCAACAAAAACCGACTCACATGACACATTTCATGGTCCTTATGGCGTTACTTCGGAAACTGCACAACCAACATACTTAAGAAACTCAGCAGTTCCGTAAACCAATTCTTCTTTCCATAAAACAAATAAGTATCGTTGCCCTGTCTGGGAAAAAGTTATTACTCAATACTGGAGTAATTGTACTAACTTGGTACATTGACCAACTATCACTTCAAATTCGATCATAACCATCTTGTGTACAAGGAAGCTTGTACACATAATCCAAAGTAATATCTTTCCATTTCCACTGCGAAACAGAAAATAATAATCTCAATCCAAAGGTTTATCTCTTTCTGCCTCAATCTGCTGACCAAATAAAACTGTCGAATGGTATGCTAAATCTTATTACTTTTGGAATATTGCAGAAGTTGAACAGTGAACTTCGTCCAATATTTGCTTGCTTCAAATCCTCAGCATTAGGCACATACTTTTTGTTTTCTTGTATCCACATACCATTTGAGTCTCGAGTACGACCTTACCAAAAGGCCTAACTTGAAACTTAGCAAGTATAACTTCTTCTCGATCTTTCATTCTTAACTTTACTTTAGTTGATTTCCAATCCACAAGAAGATAATCTTGGCAAGCGTACCAAGCATTAATTCTTACTGGAGTCTTCTCATCAAGTGCTTCAGCTACAACAATTCACGATCACCCTGATCGTACAATCATAATCACTAAGTAATTCAATCCACCTTTGTTGCCTCATATCAAAATCCTTCCGAGTAAACAAATACTGGAGACTCTTTTGATTTGTAAAATCTTGCATTCTTATCAACATATAATGTCTCCATAACTTCACAGCAAGGATGATAATCGTGACTTCCAAATCACCAGTAGGGTAATTCATCTCATGAGGTTCCATTTGTCGTGAAACATATACAATCACCTTAACATTTGCATCAACATGCCTCCAATACCATTCAAGAAACATCACTAAAATTTTATGATTACCACTATCTTCTAGGATTACTAAAATACGTGTATGAGTGAGGAAATACTTTAGTTGTTGAATCCCTTACTCACAATTTCCTTCCCACTCATGCATAACTCTTTTTCTCAACAGTCTCGTCAATGACAAAGCAATGACTGAAAAATCTTTCACAACCATCCAAGATAGCCTGGTAAGTTAAGAAATTCCAAATCTCAATTACGACTCGTGGTTGTTCCAAATTCTCAATTTCTGCTATCTTTTAAGGATTCACTTGAATACCTTAAGCAGACATAACAAATTTTAGAATGCCACTTGATCCATTTAACTTTAGCTTTTGCTAAACTTAGCATACAACTAACGTTCTCAATCTTTGCTTCATTGACTTAATACGTTTACATACTCTGCTCTGGCTCAGAATATGCCAGAATATCTTCAATGGAAATGATATCAATTTATCAAGGC